ACTGCACCCAAGAAGCCAGAGACTCCAATATCCCTTAATTTAAGGGTTTAGGGTTTAGGGTTTAGGGTTCCGATATCCCTTAATTAAGGAATATTCCTTAAATTATAGTAGGATCCGTAATATGATTTAAGGTATATTCCTTAGTTAAGGGATGTTGGAGTCTCTGGGTAGGGTGGGAGGTGCTCATCTTCTTCTGCGGAACCGAGGTGCCCATGCGATGCGCGGCCGTGTTGCGACTTGGCTGTGGATAGTGTCATCGAGTCCTTTCTCGTTCCTGTCAGAATACATCAGCGGTGTGCGTGTGACATCCAGTGAGTACCTTAACCTACCAGAACCCACTTTTTTGTAGGGCCCCTATAAATCCCATATTAGGGTTTATAACAAGAACCTACAAAATTGTGGGTTATGGTAGGTTAAGGTATACAGATGCAGAATCTGTTTTGTCAGCATCGCCAAGGTCTTCATGGCCGGAACCTGAGTGGCTGGATGTTGCAGAGCCCAGAGAGCCCAATACCCCTTAATTAAGGAATATAGCTTAAATTTTCAAATCAGAATATGAAGGCCCCTCTAATTTAAGATATATTCCTGAATTAAGGGGTATTGGGCTCTCTGTGGAGCGCCATGCTTTTCGACAGCCCGGTCTTGACCACCGACGAAACTGCACTGCTCGACTCCACTTGTGGAGTTCGGTGGTTCTGGTTCGGGTTCCTCGTAGCGTCTTGGATCCTCTTGCAAGCAGTAACCGTCAGGAAGCTTCGATTGTGAACTTACATCATGTTGGTCAACCACTCCCCTTCTTGTAAAGCTGTGAAATTCTCGACGGACAATCCCAAAGCGTACAGGACGACCCGGTCTCTGCTTGGCCCCCCGATTACATGGCTACAGCCACAAGCCCACTCCCAACTACCCATGAGTCCATGAGCATTCAAGTAGTTCCCTAGACCCTAAACCCTGAACCCTAAACCCTAAACCCCATGAGCATTTCAAGTAGTTCCTTCTCAGGAGAGTCATGACACCGCCGCTTCGGACCGCTACGGAAGGGCACCGGCCTCGACCCACATGAGAAGAATAACTTTACCTACGGCTGATAATATGGGGGTTTCAGAAAATAGGGGACCCTAATATAGTACCCTAAATAGTAGGATCCCTCTTATAAGGACCCCAAAATAAGGTACCCCTTACTTTCGGAAACTCCCATATGGGGGTTTCCGAAAATAGGGGACCCTTATATAGTACCCTAAATAGTAGGATCCTTATTATAAGGACCCCCAAATAAGGTACCCCTAATTTTTGGAAACTCCAATATGAATCCTGCATTACCTTAAGGACCCTAAACTATGGGAAGTGTGGTATATTCCTTCTTTTGGGTAATGCAGGATTTATGTCATCAACCGTAGGACCTAGAACCTTCTAAAGCCTACAGCCTATAAGCCCCTATACGTTTAGGGTTTAGGGTTTAGGGTTTAGGGTTTAGGGTTTAGTTTCAGCAGTATCACTAGGTCTTAACTCTCCTCCGTAATCCTAAGCCATGAACCCGCGCGTTGTGGTTCAAGTCTAAGGGCAGGGAATGCGAGTGTCAGGTTTAGGGCACACGGTATTACTTTGAGGCTTTGAGGTGTTTCATTTATCTAAGTATCTATCTAGTTGTCTGTTTACATGCCGGAGCAAATCGCTGACCCTAACATTCAATTCCCCACCAAAAAGTTTTCTCCACGGTAGTACAAGGATGAGGTTGGATGGGTGCCCCCCACCACCACCACTGTTAGCTCCAGACTCGGTGGGGGTTTCCGAAGGCCGGATTCTTCCCATTGATTTCATGTCATATCGGTAAGACCGGCTAAAGGATTCAAGAGGCCAGAAGCTGTGCCCTGTGCGAGAGGCTACGGCTAATGAACCGTCCGCAGAGCCCGTGCTGCCAGACGTCCGGCATCCGCAAACTTGACGCCCACATGCCGGCCGCTGAAGTGCGATGGCAGGTGCACTCACCGAGGGAGGATGAGCAAATAAAGGGAACGGAAATGTGAGTGGCACCGTGGGCAACTTGATGAGCTCTGGAACCCAGAGAGCCCAATACCCCTTAATTAGGGAATATATCTTAAATTAGAGGGGCCTCTAACCTCGTCTTTTTCATTTCTTTAAGCCCGTCCAATCTCGCATGGCAGGTAATTTTGGAGTATCGTTTTGACAGGCACTCCATCTGGCTCACGCTCGTCATCAGCCGGACCACCAACTTGAGTCTTGCTGACCCCGAGAGCCCAATACCCCTTAATTAAGGAATATACCTTAAATTCTAGGGGCCCTAATATTACGATTTAAGCTATATTCCTTAATTAAGGGGTATTGGGCTCTCTGGGCAGGTGGCTTGATACATGGGGATCGGCATGTCGTTGGGCAGAGCCCGCGCCGGCTTGAATAGCGTGGCCATTCTGGTTGTTGCTTCTGTTTAGGGTTTAGGATTTAGGGGTTTGGGGTTACATCAACCTTGATGGGTTTGGGTGTATTAACTTAAAGCAATGTTCGATCTTTTGCCCCAGTGGTGGCAAAAGGATCCATCAGCACTAAGTTTACCCTCGACCATCTCCCAGACCCGCGGCAAGAGGTGCCATGGTGCATGGGGTTTTCGAAGGTGACGGGCGATGATCGGGACTGAAATAGGCCCTAAACCCTAAACTCTAAACCCTCAAGACAGAGAGAAAAGAGACCTGTGGCCAGCTGTACGGCCGGGTTGGAAGGGGCAAAGCCCCAGAAGGGCCACTTAAAACCCCACCTCGGACCGCAGGTGCGCGCTCGCGCGCCGCGGTTTAGGGTTTAGGGTTCAGGGTTTAGGGTTCAGGGTTTAGGGTTTAGGGTTTAGGGTTTAGGGTTTAGGGGTGTCCGTCCTGGTAAGTAAACCGTACGGTCGTGGTATGTTCCCTCATACTGGTAGCAGCGTCTCTACTGCGCCGTGGGAATCTGCCATCGGCTCCTGATCCCGAAACGCACACAGAGCGAGGTATTTATGTATGGATGGATGGATGTACATGCATACATATACATGTATGTGTGTGGCTACATATTGACCTGCATATCAGCAATTACATATATGCGTACAAACACAGAGAAATACGTACAGTACTTTTGAATGAAGAGCCCTGCTTCGTGTGAGGTTCCAGCAGCTGTGCACAACGGACGGGCTTTCATGAAAGAGGGAGCCGAGGCGCCACCCAAGCACCAAAGCTGCGGAAGAACTGATGTTTTCACTATGTGGACCCAGGGCGGAGGCGGCGATGCATTCCAGCAAGTCCCTTGCTCAGATGCAAAAGCTGTGCGCCATTTCACACGGGGAGAAAATCTCAGATGTACTGCAGCTGGGGAGGCTGGTGGAAGATTGCCCTACCCAGACCCCGAAGAGGCCGGACGCACACATCCGTGAGTAGCCCTTGTGCGAAAAAGCTTGCTGTCTGGGAATTACGCTTTTGCTTTCAAGCCACCGAGGCATGCAGGCTTGCACCTTCAACCGGCATCATGCATGTCAGAGCTGGCATCAGGTCGCCACGAATGAGTTTGCATGGAGACGGGCGGCATTAGGCCAGTTTGAATTTGCCAGTTTGCTGACTTCACAGATGCTGCTCCCTAAACCTTAAACCCCAAACCCTAAACCCTAAACCCTAAACCCTTGCATTTAAAAAAAAAAACCCTAAACCCTAAACCCAACCTGTGTCGCTGGGAAAGAGTTCAGGCTTGGTGTTGATGTTCACCTGCCCGGGCGTGCCCATGCTGCTGCAGGGCCAGGAGGCCTTCTGCAAAGCTTTGGTTTAGGGTGTATGGTTTTGGGGTTTTGGGGTTTAGGGTTTAGGGTTTAGGGTGTATGGTTTTGGGGTTTAGGGTTTAGGGTTTTGGGGTTTAGGGTGTATGGTTTTAGGGTTTAGGGTTTTGGGGTTTAGGGTTTAGGGTGTATGGTTTTGGGGTTTAGGGTTTAGGGTTTGGGGTTCTTTCCCAGAGACTCCAATATATCCCTGAATTAAGGAAATATTTCCTTAAATTATAGTAGGATCCTTACTACCATTTTAGGTCTATTCCTCAATTAAGGGATATTGGAGTCTCTGGGTTTTCTTCCCCCGCGAACCCGGCAGCTGCCTCCAAGAGAGGTGGGTGATTGCCAGCCCTACTGTTGGCCGAATGGACCCGCTTTGGACTGGGACCGAGTGGGATGCCCAGCTACGCCCATATTGGGTAGCTTTCTAAATTAGGGTCCCTTTTGGGGGGTCCTTTTTTTTAAGGGTGCCGTACTTTTTGTTGGGGACGTAAAGGGGCCCTAATTTAGAGAGCTACCTATATCCAGCAGCCATGACCAGAGCGGCAGCATGCGACAGCCATGAGTGACGTGCCTCGAGGCGATGGAAACATCCGGGATCCCGGTGGCATCCCCAGCTTCCGAAGCCCAGGGAGCCCAATATTTCCTTAATTAAGGGATATATTCCTTAAACCATATTAGGGATTCTACTATAGTTTAAGGTATATTCCTTAATTAAGGGATATTGGAGTCAGAATATTAGGGCCCCTATAATTTAAGGTATATTCCTTCATTGAGGGGTATTGGGTTCTCTGGGTTCCGAAGGTCCAGGCCCAAACTGCTCCAACTTGCTCAAACCTCCCCGAGGCTGCCTGGAAGATGCTTTGCCAGGATCTGATTGCACTGAGGCAGTGAAGCTTTCTAGGGCTTAGGGTTTAGGGTTTAGGGTCATGGAGTCCATTGTTGCCGGTTGTTCTTCCAGGGTGGGGCGAAGTGGCACGCCATCAGCGAGCCCGCTGCAGGGCGATGGTGTAGGGGCCTTCTGCAGCACCTTCCGCCCGATACGTTTTTCAGAAGAGGCTGGCGCCTGCTTGCTTTGCTGAGATCCACATCTTCCACGACCAGGGCGGTGTATTGGCCTACCTTCGCTGGCATGAAGCCGAGGACAGCCTTCAGACAGCTGTTTAAAAACAGCAGCCGAAGTGACTCCCGCGCGCCTCTTCGGAGATATCGGGTGCTGTTGTGATCGTCATGCTTTCGGCTTGCATGGCACTCAACAAAGTACTCACCACAGAGGAGAGCCGCAACAAGAAAACATGCGGTGTACGCTTGGGTCTCGGACCAGACGATCGGAAGAGCGCCGGAGTGCCTGCCTTCACCGATTTGTCGGTATACCTCTACCCAAGGCCTAGCCCTTGTTGTCCTCAACTTCCGCAACCACAACTTCGGCCACTACACCATCGGCGTGGGATCCCCGAATGCCCAAACTGTCAGAACAGCGCCTGCTGCATAGCTTCCATTGTTTTGCAACCAGGTGCCACCCTCTCGAATTTGGCACATTGCTGCGCCGCTTGTCGAGAATGTACATTGAGACAACTTGACCTTCAGACAAGGCTGTCGTGGGCCCATCCTTTCCTGTACCCGGCCGTTGAAGTACTAGGGCCAAGAGTGGTCAGCTGCGACATCCGAGGAGCACTCCGCGCTTGGAGAACATTCCAGACGACATCCAGGTGGGAGTTGCAATCGCAGGCGTTGCATCTCACGTGAACGGGGATTGGTTTGACGCAGAGATGCCAACAGGTGCAGTGTATAGTATGGTCGTATGGTCGTTTGCAGAGCACCTAGCCCAGAATCTGGAACTTAGACCCCGCGCTTGTGCAGGTGACCCAGCGCTGTCCTACTCACGGATTTCCGAACTGCCTCGAGGTACCTTTGGAGGCCCATGCGTTCTTTTCACTTGTTCTTCGAGCTTCGCCAGAGCTGAATGTGGCGACAATCTGTGAAATCCACACAGCAGGTCTCGTCCGACACAAAGCACAGAACTCCGCCCCCAATTCTGACGGCCAGCGGTGCCACCCCCTAAGCTCCAAGCAATAGCGAACTCTTAACCTCGAGACGAGTACTGCAGGACGGAGGCGACAACGACTACTATTGACCAATACCACCGCTACGACACCAAAGTTATTGCAAGACTATTACAACGATGACGGCTGTCTCTGCTGGAAGCACTGCCGGCGCCACTGCCAGCCATCATCATCGCGCCACCACCGCCGCCGCGAGCGCCAGATCACCACGTCTACCACCTCGACAACGACTTGTGCTTCTGTTGCCGTGTGTTTGCGGCTTTCATGATACATCATGGTACTACACGCGGCAGTTGCACTAAGCTCGGCAAGCCGTGGCCGTAAGCTTCTTCAAAGGTGCGTTTAAACATGTTTCAGTTTCGCATTGGGTGAATGGGAGGGAAGGCATGTTGCATCGCAGGCCTATGCTGGGGTCCACCCGCCATGTTGAGTCACTGGTGTCGGATGCTGCTGGACAGGACGTAACATGCTCTGCTGTCTACCAGCCAGCTCGCCAGGTAGTCCTGATGCAAGATTGCTGACAGCCCGTGGCAGCTGTCAGGCCGCCAATAAGCTGCAAGATCAAGAGTCATCCACCCAGAGAGCCCAATACCATCCAATACCCCTTAATTAAGGAATATACCTTAAATCATAATATTAAGGCCCGTATAATTTAAGGTATATTCCTTAATTAAGGGGTATTGGGCTCTCTGGGGAGTCATCCACTGGCAATGTGCATCATGTGAAGAAGGGTGAACAACAACCTCTGTGAAACACCGGTTGCACCAAGCCAGGCTCTGCAGACGCCTTGTGCCGAGTGAATGGAAGCTGACAGCGGGTGGTTTCGAAGGTTAGAGCATTACGAGGGGTAATGCGATGCACAACCAAGAATATCTCACGGAACCTGTCAAAACCTTCGCACCGCCGCTCTGCGACCAAGCAGAGAGCTCAGCGGACACAGCACTACGGAGTTGGCACGAGATGGGTGTGTTGGTGTTTTTGTTGCCTTTTTGGTGAGCCGCGGATTAACCCGACGTGGCGCGGCCAGCCCATTTTGAAGGCTGGACGTGCAGCTGGCAGCCTCGCAGCATCCAAACATAACATGACTCACCCAGAGACTCCAATATTCCTTAATTAAGGAATATTCCTTAAATTATAGTAGGATCCTTAATATGATTTAAGGTATATTCCTTAATTAAGGGATATTGGAGTCTCTGGGCAATGACAGGCACCGGCAGCGGCGGGACAAAGAGCGTCCTCGAGCTTGCCAGAAGAGTTTTCCATTGCCAGAGGAGAGCCTGGGATCACAGAAGCATTGACAGAAGCGAGCCTTCATACTCACGGATGACCCACCGGCTTCATCCTGGAGGCTCTCTATATTATACCCATGGTTTCGACACGTTTCGCAGAAAGATGCAAGATCAAGCTGAAGCGCAGCTTGATCTTTTGTGCAGCCCAGATGCACAGCTGCGGGAGTCGGTGAATTACGAAGCACTCTTCCCAGAGAGCCCAATACCCCTTAATCAAGGAATATACCTTAAATTATAGGGGCCTTAATGTTATGATTTAAGGTATATCCCTTAATTAAATATACCTTAAATTATAGGGGCCCTAATATTATGATTTAAGGTATATTCCTTAATGAAGGGGTATTGGGCTCTCTGGGTTCATGGGCACAAGAGGCCTCAGTAAGGGTCAGGAAGTTCACCGTACTGCTAGCACTCCTCGGCCACAAGCCATCCCTCCCAAGCTGCTTAAGGCCAGAGACTCCAATATCCCTTAATCAAGGAATATATATCTTAAATCCTATTAAGGATCCTACTTTCGTTTAAGGTATATTCCTTAATTAAGGAATATTGGAGTCTCTGGGCCATTCTGGCTGTGATGAGATGTGCGCAAGGAAAAAGCTTGGACCAGCTTGGATGTCGCAGCCGCAAGTCCGCGCCATTTTCGCCATCGAGTACTCGCATGTTCGCAGGCGCTATGTGAGGACATCATCCGAAAATCGATCTCCATCGACAATGTCGTCCAAATCATGATGACGGCCAAGGCCTGCTCCACTCCTCTATGACCCCACGACATGTCTGTATTCCACCTGGTTGCTTGATGTGGCTCCATCTGGAAAGTGCTTTATTACCCTAAACCCTAAACCCTAAACCCTAAAATGTGCGCATGGCCATCCCCAGGCACACCGGGCGGATGGTCTGAAGGACATTTGCATGGCCAGTGTCCAAGTAGGGGTTTTAGGGTTTAGGGTTTCGCGGGGTTAGGGTTTTGGGGGTTTTAGGGGTTTTAGGGTTTCAGGGTTTTAGCGGTTATAGGGCTGTAGGCTTTTAGGGTTTTATGTCCAAGTGCTCGAATCCTGCTAAAGGATGGTCAGAGTGCCAACAGAGACCATCAGCTGAGGATTTCATCATCACAAACGAAGAGAAAATCAAGCCCACTCCAGCCTTTAAGGAGCTGATCCAGGACCTTCTGCATGTAAACCTGCCGTGAGACATGTTGCCAGCATGGAGTTGCCGGGATGTGCCCGGGAAACTCCATGTGCGCTTAAGTGAGTCCCTAAACCCTAAACCCTAAACCCTAAACCCATGAGTCATGAGCATCCACGCGTATGAGGAGCCCACGCTGATGTACGAGCTCCTGATGCGGTGCTGCACCCGGGTGTCCCCACATCGCACACTTGACTTCCAGACCTCAGGAGAAAATGCTCCAGTATCGAATAGGGTTTAGGGTTTAGGACCCTTTAGGATTTTAGGG